GGTTACATATGAAGGTCTTCTGTGATACATATTGTGCTGATATAATTATTTGGATGTTAGGGATCATGTTTTAAGGTTATGGTTGATGCTATCATAATTTTTATTTATTTTAAGTATTTTTATTTTTTGGGTAGTTCATTGGAGAAGGGATTTTCTGCATGTGGTAAGAATAAAACTCAAGATGTCATGTTATGCCCTTCCGCCACCTTGACCACCTGTCCTTGAGCCCGTTTCTAGTTTTATTCATCTTATACAAGGATTTGTTTAGTAAGGAACTAGACTGGGGCATATTTGATTAGTTGTTGACTTTAGCAACACTACATCCCAAAAAAAAAGAAAACAAAACATCCCAAAAAAAAGGAAAAAAAAAAAGGAGGCTTGCTTGGTATGATCTTTCGTTTACTATGATTTGTTGGTAGTTAGAGGCATGTTGACCAATTAAATCCTCCAAATACAAAGCACTTTCTTTGTGAACCCCCATGATCCCGAGGACCATTGTGAACGAGAGGAGCACTAGAACATAGTGCACAAATATTGGCATCACCGTCACCTTGGACAAACATATATAACTAATTTTTTTGAAAGAAGTGTACCGTTTTGGTTCTCAACCCTGAATATCTTCATTATGTTTGTGTTTGTTGAGGGAGGTAGGTCGAACGGTCCACTCACCCCGAGTGAGGCCGCAGGTATAGGGATATAGAAATCCCCAACCAGGATGAAGGAGGGACAAAGGGATCCCATAGCAACAGTAGAGAAAGGAGAAAGAGAGGTTGGTACCTGAAGATGGCTTGAGCCAACGGTAGGGTGACGTGTCCCCAGTGGAGTCAGTTGATGTTGGTGGGGTCCTGGTTTCCCTTGGGTCAAGAGACAGAAACCCTTTCTCCAACAACTGCGGAGGTCCGGCACGTGTGTTGCACGTAGTCCCGCCTTCTTGCAGATAGACCCCGACGGTGAGAGAGATTTTGCGATTGGAGCATCAACGCTCTTTCCGTTGCTTGGGGGGTTTGGGGACATGCCTGATCGGATAGCCCTCTTAGAACAATTACAAAGCCCTCCGGCTGCTTCTCAGCAGGGTTTGAACGAGGGCCCTCTTCAAGCTCGCGACCTCTATCTTCTCTCTTTAAGCTGTTGGAATGGGATCCGAATGTCCCTCCTCCTTGGTTGCGCTCCCGAGGGGGCTGGCTGCCCACTAAAAGGGGCGTGAGGAAACTTGAGCGTTGAGGCCCATGGGTTTACTCACATCCGCGGGATTGCGGGTGGACACGGTGTCGTGCAGATGAGGTCGCACATGAAGGTGAGAGTGAGAGAGAAAGAGAGAGAAGGGGTGACTTGGCTCAGAAGAGAGGGACGATGACCTATATGACCAGGGTGCTTGCGGGACTGCGCACTCAGGGGTATCTTCTCTCTCTCTCAAAGGTTTCTCTCTCCCTCTCTCCTCTCCCGCGGGGATTGGGGACTCACAAGGAAAAACAAGCTAATGAGACGAGTGCAATCTAGCCTTGATTCTTCCCAGCCTTTAGGGGTATTGGGGCTTTTAAAGGGGCATTTTATAAGTGGGTTGCTCAAGGTCCCAAAAGGTCGAAAAGTCCTTTTACAAGTGGGTTAAGCTTGCTTGTATAGAGGATTCACCAAACAGGGGTGAACACTCAAAATTCAAGCTTAATTATAATTTGAGAAATGAGAAATAAATCTTGAAATTAGGCACAAATGACCAAAATATCCCTGAGATTTTTTGCACAGATGATGAAACCGTCCTTGCATGTACGTTGCTCCGAAAATGGCGAGACCTTGGAATCTTGTTCTGCAACTTGTGGCAATGGTTCAACTGTTTCACTATTATATCTTCAATGTTCTCTCGATTGTGAGTATTTTGATGCCCTTGAATCGTGTTGAGGTAGCCTTTTCCGTCGGGGTGAAAGTCCGGCCAGATTTGTGAACTTTGTTTGCTAATGCTTCTTCAAGTTGCGTTGTTCTAGTTCCTGGTTCTGCTTGCAAGTTAGAGAGGAGGTTGTCGCATTCGTTTTGCACCAAGTTTGGGTTGATTTTTTGGTTCATGCATTTGCTTAATTTAAGAGGTTATCAGAAAAATAGATTTTGACAACCGACATGATTTACTTCTCTGGTGACCTGGGGACTTGAATTCATCGGACCTTGGACTGAATGCAAGAGTTGTACTAGTGTGTAGCTCTTCGCGAGGTGGTTGCATTAAACCCACCTTCGTGGTGATCCAAGGTTTTGATGTCGAGCTATGCTTCACGGAATTCGATACTTCTTTTTCTTGAACCCTGGTTCTCCCTTTGGTTCTGCGAGCACCTTCTTCCTCAGAGCAATGCATTTCTCGATCACACCACAATGTGTGCCGTTGGTCAAAATGACGGGGTTGACATGATCTAGAACATATCAACTTTTGAGGTCTCTTCTGTTTCAGAGGAAGGCACCATGGGTGAGCGAAGCTGCTGCAGGAAAGCGTTGTCACAGTCCCCATGTTCGGGGACTGGTTTGGTGAAGCCGCACGGCGCTAGTGTGAAACCCGCCAGTTACGAGGCCACATGGGCATAGACCCCTTCGAGGAGGTCTGATTGAGCCCAAATTTGGTCATTGGGGGTTTTTCGATGTTCTGAGTGCAATGGTGGTGGTTTGGTATAGTTTTACAGCAGGTAGTATAAGGCTACAGTTGAAGGGTCCTTCTTCGGTACGACGACGCCGCACCCAAGTCACGTGGCCCAGGCTTTATTTTTTGGCACAACATTAGTTCGAGGGTGTCTGGTGAACCCGCAGGACCAAGCTGTCATCGGCTCTCCCCTTATTCATATGGGCTTCGGAAGTATGTCAAAAATGGCGTACAACCTTAAGGAAACCAGTAGGACTGCCCTTAAAATGCACAGAGAAATGAGCAGAGGATAAACATCCAAATATCCAACTCCTCCACTTTGTTTCTAAGACCCATGTTTTTTAGAATTTCCAAAAGCACTTCCCATTCAACTTTGTCACATGCTTTTTCCAAATCAAGTTTGATAATAACTCCAAGAACTTGACTTCTCAATCTAGAATAAATACACTTTTGAGCCATTAAAATACTATCAGTGATTTGACGATTCTGAATGAAAACAGATTGATTGTCAAAAATAAGGGAAGGTAAAACTAGCTTTAATCTTTCAGCCAAGACATTGCCACAATCTTATAAAGACTAGTCAAAAGATTAATGGGCCTAATATCATATAACTCTGCAATCACTGATTTTTTAGGAATAAGAGCTTTATAAGTGGCATTAATCCATTTGAATATTTCACCCCTGAACATAAAAGCTCTAACCATATTTAATAGCTCAACCTTAATCAAGTTCCAAAATCTATGGAAGAAAGCATGGGGAAAACCATATGGGCTTAGAGACTTATTATCAGATAAAGCAAAAACAACCCCCTTAAGTTTTTCCATAGAAATGTCACACTCCAAATTAGAGCTCGACTCCACTAATAGAACTTTAAAAGGCACCCTTGCCAATTTAGGAGTGAACTTCACCTTTGACGAGAAAGCCTTCTTAAAGTGGTCAATAATAGCCCCTTCCATTGCAGCATTATCGTCTGTCTCAACACTAGAGATAGTTAAACCAGAAATATCGTTTTGCCTTCTTCTCGCACTCATAATGGAGTGACAGTACTTAGTATTCAGATCACCCTCCTTTAACCACTTTATCCAATATAACTCATCAGCTCTACGAAGATCAAGAAGCGATTTCAACTTCGAACTCCTAACACCCAACAACTCCTTGGTCAACACACCTGAAGATTGAATGCGATGGTCCAAAGCTTTAATTTCACCTAAGACCTAATCAATTTTGGACTGAACGTAATAATTATTCTTTTTCTTCCAATCAATGAGCTTATGTTTAATGTTAACTAGTTTTTTGTGCAATTGAAAATCAAAGGAACCACTAGAAATAGTATTATGCCCGGTGGTTTTAATGACGTCTACGATTCCATACTCTTCCAACCACCCAATATTTGGCCGAAAAGGCTTTGGCCCACCTCTCTCCATAATATAACAAAATGGGGATATGATCAGAAGAAAGATGTGGAAGAGCTCTAACAGAGATAAGAGGAAAGACATCCACCCAATTTGTAGATACTAAAAAATCTATCCAATTTAGACATTGAGATACTAATGATACTATTATTTGACCAAGTAAATTTAGTCCCAACAATTAGTAGATCCGTGAAAGAATTACTTTCTACAAATCTAGTAAACAGTCTCATCGATGAATTAATAGAAGAATCTGTAGGATATTCATCTAGCAACCTTATAAGATTAAAATCCCCCTTGTGCATATAGGAAAATTAAATTGTTGAA